CGGTAGCTACGTCCATCTTTTATACAGACTATGATCAGGGCCCTCGATTGTGTGACTCCCTACAGGCACGTGTTCGGTGTGAAAAAGCTTGTCAGTGGCGCCTCAGCTGCTCTTCCCAGGAAGAATCGGGTAAATCCTGGTCTAAGCGTCTTCATTTAGATTGATTGAAAAACGCTCTCGCAGCCCTTTGAAGTTAAGTTATTCAATTATGACGTTTTTTTTTTTTTTTTAGTTTTTGTCGCGTTGAACTGGCATCGCTTCAGCGTAGCAGTTACCGTGACCTTCATTACTTCTTTCCTCTTTTACTCTTGTGTCTCTGGTGATCTGTCGAGGCGGAGAGCGAGGTGCTCTGTGATTTAGTTGTCCTTCACATCAGGTGCTCCGTCCTTGCAGCAGGCAGTTCTCTGTCTTCCTTCTCTCCCGTGTTTTTTGTTTTTTTTGTTTTTTTTCTTCTGTTTCTCGTCTACCCAGGCGTTTTGCTCTACACCAAGCACAATTCTGCAGAGAGAGAGAGAGAGTAAGAAGCAGGCTTATTTTCACTGTATGCATTCTGCTTCTGTCAACACTTTCTGCAGGAGGCCCCCCCCTCCTCCTCTCTCTACATTATGAAAGCCTGCTGCAGACCGGGTTGCTGTTGTGTCGTTAGCTGTGGTGCTGAAATTTGCACCCCTGTTTGTATATTGTTAGTTTGCATACATGTTTAGGTGTGCTCATAAGCGTGATAAATCCTGGTGCATTCCGCTTTACACCAAGCAGAAATTCTAATTAGTCTCGGGCTGCTCTGGAATTCATCAGCGAGTCTCATTAGCGAGGAGTCCGCGGTGCCCCTGTGCCTCTAATCTGGCTCCGTGTGCTGTCGTCCCGCAGAGAATTGGGATCTCTATTAATTCATTTGACATGGTGACACTCATGGCCAGCGCATAATTATTTCTTGTACAGTGTTTTTTTTTTTTCACAGTGGTCTTTGTGGCTTTTCTTTTTCATTATTAATCACTTATACTCTTTGCATTCTTCTGTTTAGGTGACTTGGGCAGAGCAACAAGTATCCAAACGGAGGAAAAAGAGGGACGTCTTCGCAGATCCCGTAGATCCCAAGTTCAGAGACCAGTGGTACCTGGTGAGTGTGTGCAGAAAAACCTTGGCTGAACAAAAAGTGTTTTGTGTGCGTCTGCGGGACATAATTCAGCGCCGCAGCCTGCTGGAGCTTTTTATTCGCTCAAAGTCAATACCCGTAATTAAATTTGAGGCTGTGATGTTTCCTCTGAGTCAAAAGACGAGCCCGTATGAATCCAATATCTTCATGTGGAATGCTATTGTCTGTCTTGTTTGCAGAACAAGGAGCTCCAGTCTTGAGTGACTGTACCTAAAGTATTGTTCTTTTAACAACACAATGCCGTGCTTTCATACGTACGGAGCACCTTTACATTCTGAGTGGCACGCTTTAAGAAATTGATGGTTCCATCGAGTCCATAAACTGCAACCACAAAGACAAAGCTCAGAGAGACGGAGACGGAGGCGATTCATCTCCCAGTGCTCTTATTTTTACTTGATTGATTTTCACATTTGACTTGAGGAATGTCACTGATATATTGGCCTGTTAAAAGCGGCAGTAACAGCTCCTGAGATTTTCTGTTCGGCTTCACCCCTTCCTTCAATTACTGCGAGGCCGCTTCGGGCGGAAGAAGATTCATGGTGATGCAAAGGAGACTTGCATCACCAGTGGTTCAAAATGCCCGAGCTTTAACAGATTCTGTTCCCCGGTGCCGGAGTAGTTAGTGGCACCTTGACAGAGTAAAAGCTTTCTGTCGGGTCGGATCAGCGTTACTAAATGTAATAGATGCTGCCGAGTTCGCAACACTTCCACAGACTCTATCTGATAGTCGCATCATCCACACATGCTTCTTTTTGGGCTGCGACTACAGATTGTCATTCATTTGCCAGTTTTTTAATGGATTTATTAATCCTTCAGTCTCTTAGATGTCAGATAATAGTGAAAACGCCCTTCAAACTTCCCCAAAGCTGGACGTAAACGTCTCTCTTTGTCCAGCTAATTTTGTTTAATGTGAGCGTCCAACTCGCGCTCTGGCTCTTCTGGAAAATACTGTCTCTGCATTTAGGCTGTTAGCAGCTCGTACCGAAAAAACCCCCCGTTGCTCTCGTTATTGGTGCGTTTTAAATTAAAAGTAGTCGTTGCAATGCAGAGACATAGCAAAGGTTGTCACGTAGCAGTAATGTGTTGCTCCCCTCTCTCTCTGCGCTAAATAAGTCAGAGCCTCATTAAATGTGAACGCGGCCGGCCAGAGCAGAGTGTGGGTGGGTCTGTTGGCAGGCCGTCCGTGATGGACAGATGCTAATAGTCAGCATCTGTTGTTACAATGAATATTTCATATTTTTTCTGATATTCATCTAAACGATGAGACAGATCTTTTCTTCATTGATAAATCATGATCGTGTCCCCAAGAGATCTCCAGGAAGGGAATGCTGACATGATGGAAGAAGGAAAAGGACTCGGTTTGATGAGCAATATTCAAAATGAGACCTTGTACATGTCTCTTAGATTTATCATTCGCCCCAGTGTGTCCGCCACAAAAGGCCTTTAGCAGCCTTAATCAGCACTGCAACTTTTAGCTTTAATTGATTCGCTTCTCGATGGTTTTAAGTGTCAGCGACGTTTAAAGGTTGAGAACAATCTGATGGACGACACTCACAAACAGAGCTGCACGTTTATGACAGAAATGATAATCCTGATTATTTATCATGCAGCAGTTTTAATGTTTGCCCTCTTCCCCTTTTAGTAAACAGAACACCGGTTTCATTTCATGTTGTGCTACATTCCTCATATCGTACAAACCTTTGGATTTAAATAGGATTTAAAATTAGGTGCATCTGCTGGAGCGGTGCTTCTCAAACTTTTTGAGCCACGACCCCAAAGATAACATAAGTTTGTGTTCGTGACCCCCCAATTTGAATTCTTAATATATCACGAGTAATAACTTTGTTGTTCATGTATTAATGTGTTAAAAATTAATGTGTTAATTCCACAGATTAATCTCTTTATGTTACTTTTCTTTTGAATGGATGAATTTACTTTGAACAAATGAAAGAAAAAAAAAAAAGAAAAACAAAAGAAAATCATTTTAAAAAGAGCATTAAAAAGAATAATAATATCGCATAATCAAATCATAATATTAACAAGCTGAAAAAGGAGTAGGAAGAAGTATACACCTTTAATTCTGACAGCCCAAATACACATTTATTTGATAAATTTAGGCTTTTTTCTTTTAAACAATGATCTGGCGACCCCCCTGAAATTATCTTGTGACCCCCATTGGAGTCCCGACCCCCAGTTTGAGAACCACTGTCCTAGAGGGAAAGTATAAATACAGCTGAACCCTGAATGCCTCCCTTGCTGAATGTCTGCGTGTGGATCAACACTCATGTTCCCTGAATGCATCACATGCAGGCTGCAGCAGACGCTCTCCAGCTGGCTGAGCTCAGAGAAGCCTCTAGTCGCCCCACTCAGCAGCTCGGGCAGGTGTGTGACCAAAAACGAGTGTGAAAAGAGTGAAACGAGGCGCTCTAGTGTCAGATAAACCGAGCTGATACCAGTGATGTTATTTAAAGGGGCTGCTTCTTGTGTGCTGTTTTTCCACCACATTTTAAACATCAATATTGAAGTCAGTCGTGTTCGTTTAATTGCGGGAAGCCAACATCGTGATCCTAATAAATATTTGATTAGCTGTGCACCCCTACCCACAAGGGCCTGAAATCTAAAAGGAAAATGCAGTAAAAGGTTCATCAGACACATTCTATTTTAACGACACACTTTGATACGAGGAGCTTTGAACTAGTTGAAAGTCACACATGGCTTTTGACCAAAGGTCAAGCTGAATGTCAAAAGCCTGTCAAAAAGCATACAGAATGATGATTACTGGGTACCACCATCCACTCCATCATCGCTTTGCTTTGCTTGGTATTAATAATAAATGTAATAAATGCAAGCGTGGCACTGATGCCTTCAGAATAGAGATTCTCTTATTAACCTTGCACCACTATCTTCTATTCATCGGGAAAGTTTTCGCTAAGAAAGAACGACTCAAATTCAATTAGGAGCAGATTTTTCAAGGATGCGTTCGTCCAAGCTTCAGTCTTTATCCATCTTCAAAAAAAAATAAGAAAAAGTAAGTCAGATTTAGGTAAAAGCACTTTGTTGGCACCACACAGATGTTTTCTCAGATAATTAGATTCCATCTCATTTGTCTCCTTCCTTCAGTACAACAACAACCACCGGGACTTGAATGCCAAAGCTGCGTGGCAGTTGGGCTACACAGGTAAAGGTGTGGTGGTGTCCATCCTGGATGACGGGATCGAGAAGAACCATCCTGACCTGATGCAGAACTACGTGAGTATTAATCCCACATGAGGTGTTTTCTGTGTTGATGCTGCAGCGTCGAGGTTGAACAGAGAAAATGGAACAGATCTTGCCTAAGAGATAATTTCTGCTCAGACGCATTCAGTTTCAGAGCTTTAGCAGTTTTTTTTTTTTTTTTTTTTAAACAAAAATACCTGAATAGATAACCGAACTAACCGCTCGTCTGTCTCTTCAAAGGACCCGGATGCCAGTTACGACGTGAACGACGGCGACCCAGATCCTCAGCCGCGATACACGCAGCTTAATGACAACAGGTAGACGTCGACACTGATAAGAATTTAATTTCCACTCCTCTCTCCTGTTTCTGTAAATGCTGACTGTGTATGGAGGTCATCTCAGGACAAAATAGCTCTGGTTCATTAATTTGTCCCTCTCGCTGTCTGGTAGCTGATTAATGACATGTGTGCAGACCTACAGCTGTTTCCCATCCATCGCTGAGTCTACGGGCACCAATTATGAGAACAAACTCAGTTAAAGGCCATCGCCTCTCGGGGCTGTTTTTGTTCGATATACCTGGCTTTTTCTAAAATGGAAAGTTACTTCCTCATATGAATTCGGCCCCTATCGCGCTCACACCGCACGGTTTATTGGTTTGATTTGGCCTCTTAAACACACAGGTGCCTTCAGGACATTTCTGTGGCCTGGATAAATAGAGTAAATCTACACCAGGATTAAGGTGGTGTGTGAAGAAAACAGCTTCATTGCAGTGGCATCTGCAGATGGCATTAGGAGTTGTTTACCACCACAGTGATGTCTTGCAGAGAATTGATTGAATTAAGTTCATCAGCATTAATGAAATGGCAAATCTCTTGGCTCAGGAGTGCCCCTGCTTGTCTCCCTTCATTCTCAGTGCCTGCCTACTTTCTGAATTTAATTTCTGATTCGCTGTAATCTGCTGCTTGCGGGCCACTGGCCTGAGAGGCTTTTTTAACTTGAGGCTCACCATGATTGCTGGTAATAGGCAGAGAAGATTATAGTCAGGGATGGATGAAAATCAAACATCCCTATCCGAGACAGGGGCCCGGGGCGGACACCGTCGCCGTGGAGGCCGGAGGGATACAGTGAGAGCTGCAGAACAGCCCAAACCTACTGTAACCATACAAATGCTGCTGCATCAGTGCCTTGAAGGCTTTGTCGAACATACGCAGAGGGGCGGCTGATCGTAGGAGCTCTGTAATTGTATTCATCCTAAAAATAGAGTTTGCTTTACTGGGGCAAAACCACACACGGAGTCATCAGTAAAAGTTTCTGGAAACAATATGCTGTTGCATTCTAATTCAGGCCAGTCGAGTGGATTCTTTTTGGGCCCGCGCGCCACTGCCAGGGAATGTTTTCGCCGCCATCGACTAAACCCGAAATGGTGGAATTTCTTGTGGAAGAATGTGGGAGAACATCCCTCCGGTGCTGCTCCACACATCCAGAATCTATGCCAAGGCGTGCTTAAGCTCTTCTAGCGGCTCACAGTGGCCCAGAGCCCAGCTAAGACACTTAACTATTGATGTTTCCTTCGTTTTGGCTGCACCTCTTTCCAACCCTCGCTCACCTCAGCCCTTATCTCTTGCCACCCAGCTCTCTGTGTCTTTCTTGTGGCTGGACCTATTGAGAGGAAGAATATTTGTGTGCATGTGTGTGTGTGAGTGTCTGTTTCCATTGCTTTGCAGAGGGGCTGGTACAGATGCATGTGTAAACAACCTGTGGGCGGGCATGAAGCAGCGTAAGGTTGTGTTAGACTGTAAGTGTCTGTTCCCTGCAGAAAAAGCCCAACTCTGTTCCATAAAGCCGTCTTTCTTTCCCGGCATACGGGCAGCAGTGAGGACCGTTCACCCTCATGTTTATCTAAAACAGCATGTGATCTAGATGTTTCTCTTTCCAGGGTTTTCTCCGACTCGTATCAGGACGCGTTCCAAATGTTTTCTGGATTAAACCGGGCTAAACTGGCACCGTCCTTTTCGCTGAAACGCTCCGTTCATTTCCTCCTGATTTAGCGCAGGGATAGATATCGTAATTTGACCTAAGGCGCTCACAATCACTCCGTTCAGCAGGTGCAATAAATATGCAAAAATTAAACAAACAAGATAAAGTTATTTACCGGTTTGGAGCGGGACAGTACAGACCAGCTACAGATTTTAATTCAGAAATATTTAATACACGGCGACGGATAAAAGGGCCATTTACCAGCACCGCAAACAGCGAGCTGATTAATACTTTGGCCGACCTTACATTAATCTCTCTCTAGACGTTTACCTCATATTCCTCTCTTTACCGAGCTCTATAAACATCAGCAGACCTTTTTGTCCTGTAGGCCAGCTCATTAGTAAACTGACAGAACCATTAACAGACCTAAGAGCAGAGCAAAACAGTTGTACAGATTTACCTTTGTGGTTCAGTGCAGCCCAGAGACTAATGAACAGCAAATGTCACTATCCACAGCCTCGAGAGCCTCAATGATTTTTTTTTTTTTCCTTTTTCGCAAAGTAATTAAGCTAATGCACGATAAAAGAAAGAAAACAAATGAACGAAAAGCCGGCGTGCGTCAGAATACAGGTGAGGAAAAAGGACTTCAGGTATAAAAAAAGATCAATGCAGCGTTGAGCAAGTAAATATTTTAAAATATAGCGTTGCAGCAGTAAACCTAATAAACTATACAAGAGCTCTTTATGGAGGTTAGGGAGACATATCTTACAGGAATTTTCATCCTAAAAGCTTTAATATGTAGTAATAATGCATGATTTGTGCTCTTTGCTTCTTTTTTTTGTTGCTTTCACATCACAAACACACTGTTTTGTATGTGCCATGAACTGTAGGAGTAGGTTTAGAGCCTGTCATATGTAGGCATTGGGCCCTGGAGGATTCTTATGTTTATACAGCAGAAGAAACCTCCTGCGCCTCTGGCAGATCTTTATATAATATGACAAAAAAAATGCTTTTGTGCCATTTTCTCTTTCTTAATGTACTGTTTCACAAGCACAAGTTGAGGCGAACGCTTTCCTTATCTTTCCTCCATTTCCACACACATCTGCATGACAATAGCATGTCTCCTTAGCGAATCTCCAGAGAGGCAGTTTAGGTTTTTGTACAATGATGATGGTTCTGCCTGCTGTGGGTATGAATACTGATCATGTATTTGGCCTCGGGCCTGCAGCCAACTGTAGTTGCTGTAACCTGAGTTAGTCTCTGTGCCTAGAGTCTGCCATGGGGCTCGTTCTCGCTGTAATCGGAACAAGACTTTGCACAAATTGCTCTTTGTTCACCATAATTTCCTATTATCACCGTTACGGCATGACGCAAGAATCCCGAGCTGTTGCGCCAGGTGTCAGATTCAGGAAGATGTCTTGAAGTGTCTGTGAAGAAGATTCTTTTCTTTTTCCAAGAAACGAGTGAATCTTCAATCAGGATTCTGCTGCGAATGACAAGTTAAGGCAGGAGAATGTTTCAAATGAAAAACACATGTGTTTTCTTGCTTTAAATGCTGTCATTTCCAGATGAAATGCGACGCTGTGAGCAGTGCAGGTACGCACCCTCCAGTCAGATGCCTTGCGGAATATTTGTAATGTGGGAGGCGCCCACACTAATTGACTGTTGCAGCACTGAGTGTTGTTTTGGTCTGCTGGAAGCTCGTCTAAATCTGACTGGTGGGACATTAATTGCCCCGAAGTTGTGCACGTCTAGACATGAGAGTCTGAGGAAAACGGTTGATGTGATGACACATGCGATAAATTAACAGCTCCTCTACAGTTGCTGTTTTGTTTCCATGAGATTATCAACTTCCTGAAACTCTTAAAATGTGTCTATATAACTCTTTACAGCAATCTTTGAAAGGGATTTCTAAAATAAAAGTGGCTTAATTAACAATAAACAAACTAGACTGACTTTATTAACCACCAGAGGG